AGTAAGCCATGTAGCCTTGGAGAAAATACTGAAAATTTATTTACAAATAATAAAGAAGATTTTCATCAGATAATGTCTGATTGGGTACAACATGTTGGATTACTTCAGGTACCTTCCTACAGACTTATTTATTATTTTTTCTTTAAAAAGAAAAAAAGTTATCGAAGGCTTTTTTTTTCAAATTCGAATGATTTTATTTCGAATTAAAAATTAAAAACTTACATCATCTTTAAAACCTTCTTATTATTCTTATAATTTCAGTCCAATGACTCTGAAGATTTAGGTCTTGAGTTAGGATTGGGATTAGATTGTGGAAATGATACATTAAATTCATTAGTGAACAATGATTTTTATGATGAAAAAGATAATTCGATTGTATCGAAAGGATTAAAAAATTCTATTCATAAAAATACTATCGATTATGATACTTCTTCAAAATTTATAGGTGAAATATTTCACATTGCTTTTAATAATTTGTGAAATTAATCAAATCTGACACATTGTTTTGCAAAAAAAATTTTGTTTTTAGGAGTAAATGACCAAAAAAAAGATTTAATCATTGAAAATTTAAGTCCTAGTAACTCTCAGTATGAAAACTGTCAGAAGTTATGTAAATTAATTAAGACTGAAAATGGCGGCGTCGTGGGAAAAGTGACGTTGGTAAATGGAGAAAAAGAAATTTTAGGTAAAAATATTGTAGGATTGCATTGTTTAAACGAAATCAAAGAGAATCCCGATGAAAATTGTCAAGTTACGAGCACTGTGATTAATGGAAAACGGTATAAAATTATAATTAAACCCAAGTCGTTTAAAGTAAAAAAACTAAGCGAAGAAAAGATAAAAAAAACTCTTATAAAAAAACTCCTCCAATGTAATTTAGTTGGGAAAACGGAACAAAAAGAGGATGAAATTATTACGGAAATGAGGAATGGTAATTACGATGTGCCAATTTTAGGCAGCGATGCAGTTCTTCCAAGTTGGGATTTAGTTAATTTAGATAATAGTTGGAATATGAATTTAGAAAATGAAAACGATTTTTTCAATGTCGAACCGGAAATTAAAAAAGTTCAACCGCTCCGGAAAAAAATATCGAAATTGAAAAAAATTAAAAAGAAAAATTCGATTTGTAAATCCGATGAAGAAATAGACGTAGATTCGATCGGTGACAAAGTGGTCGAAGGAAGTAATCTTAATAATTTACTTGCGAATTTCGAAAACGAAGTGGCTAAACTACAAAATGAGAAAACACCCGATTTGGAATCTGATGTAGAAAAAAATGAAAACAATGAAAATAATGCTGATAAAACGACCAAAAAGGGTAAAAATAGTTTACCCAAAGAAATGATTGAAAAAATAGAAGCTCTTAAGCGAAAAAAAGATTGTAGTAGAATTCCATTGATTCAAGCTATGCCATCTAAAAAAACGGTTAAATGTTGTACCAGAATGCAAGATGCTGTCGCAACAATGAATAGAAATAAATTATTGAAAATTGTAAGTCTGTTTGTGAGCTTATGCATTTATTTACCGCAACCATTAAATTAAATTAATTTACAGGTAACCAATGGAGATACGGTGTCCTTAGATCACGATTATTGCAGTATTTTCAATAGAAATACTTTTAACAAATCTAAAAAAACTAGTTATTTAACGGAAAAAAATCCTAAAAGAGACAGTGGAATGGAATCTGGAGATGTAAGTGATACAAGTGAAGGAACAAATACACCTGATGCCACATTAAACAAAACGGTAGTTTCCTCTATAAAAAAATATAGTTGTAATGAATTTTTTTAATATTCGATCGACATTATGAAATGTATTTATTTTCATTTTTTTTTGTAGCTCACTCCTCCGAGCATTAGATTAACTCAAGAACAACAGAGGAGGAATGCAAATCAAAATACCACGGATGCATTTCTCGAAAAACCACAAAAAAATGTTACTAATAGCGATACAGTAAAAACTGAAACCGTTTCAAATGGTAATAAAGCATTGACGAACAATAATTTAAATTTAAATTCTAATTGTGATAATAGTTTTTCGGTTAATAATAATAACGTACATGGTAAAAGTGATAACGACGAGAAAAATAAGTGTAGTAATTTGTCTTCTGCTCCGGTCGAAATAACGGCTGACAAATCTCAATCGGTTGAAAATGTAAGGATTATTAATTTTTTAGATAATTGATGTGAATGTATTCATTCATTCATTCATTCCCTTTTTTCAAAAATTGTCGTATTGGTCTAAATTTTTTAGGAGCGACCCAAAAAAAAGCTCAAGCTCGAAGAATATTTAAGCAGGAGAAATATTAGAGAAAAAGAGAAAAAAAAAGATGGTAGTGATAATGTCGAATCAAAAGTCGTAGAAAATAATATATCGGTGAGTTTATTAATTTTTTATTAATTTCAATATTTTTAAAAAAAAAGTAAGAGTATTTGTACAAATACTTTTTTCCTTAATTGATTTAGCGTTCCGAAAGTGTCGTCGAGTCGGTGTTAAGTCATCGATA